CAGGGACAGCTTCTATAGTTTTGTTATTAGAGAAGTTTCTCTGTGGAAAGTATAGCATAAGGCAGTGGCACAGCATTAAAAAATAAAAACAAAACAAAAAAAGGCCACAATAGGTCTTTGGGTACTTGGGAAGTCATTAAAGTCATGTAATGATGTATTTACCTAAGTCAGTGAAGTCTACAAATACTTGCTCTGATCAGAAGCATGGAGACAATAGTCTAGAACCATTTGGTTAAATAGGCTGAGGCCCACTAAAGCATATTCTTTTTTTAAAGAATTTTTTTAATTTTTATTTTATGTGTATGAGTGTTATGCCTGTATGTGTCACCAAGTGTGTGCAATGCCCAGGAAGGCCAGAAGAGGGCATCGTGTACCCTGTAACTGAAGTTATAGACAGTTGTCAGCTGCCATGTGGATGCTGGGAACTGAACCCTGGAAGAAGAGCAACCACTCTTACCTCTGAGCCATCTTTCCAGCCCCTAAAGCACATTCTTATCAGCACTATAGTGCATCAATATCTAAGATGGTAACAACAGAAAATACAGGCAAAACACATAGTAATAATAAGAATCTTTTTTGGAGAAATTCCATTGTACCAGAAACTACCCCAAATACATTTATGTAAATCTCTATCTATAATCCCATTAATAGTACTATGCCCCTTTTCCAAATGAGGACAAAAGGTTAAATTTCTTGATCACAACCAGGACTGGCGCATACTATTGCTGCCCAGGTGCAAAGCCAGCACACCTTTTAAATAACACCATAGACACATCCTGTTTGCAAAATGCTAAGAGAATCTTCTGCTACAATTGTTATGTATGAAAATATATGCATTTTTTTTCATTCTTTGGCAATTTAATAATGTACATCATGTATGATCATCTTCACCTTGCCATTACTCTTCTCCCCCTACTTCCTCTGAACCCCTCTTATTCCCAACAAGACCCAGTTCTACTTTCATATCTTTTTTTTTTAATGACTCACTGAGTTTAATGTTTGCATGATCATGGGTGTGGGGTTATTTATTGGAGCATGGACAGTTCAACAATGGCTAAACCACTGAGAAAAAGACTCCCCAGTCCTCCAGAGCCATCAACTGCCAACAGCTCCTCAGGGATGGGGTGGAGCTGAAATGTTTATACATTCTTAAACTTGGAATGCCAGGAGAAAACACCTACCTTGCCAATAGATCAACCTAAGCAATTTATAAAAACTAATGACACTAATGGAGAATGACCACTACTTAAAAAACAAAGATAATATTTTATCACTAAGAACAAAAATGATTGATTTTCTCCTTATCTCCCCGCCCCCAAAAAAATTATTCTAACTAAAATTTTGTTCAATGCAATAGGTTAAGAATTTCTTTTTATGAGGCTAGAGAGATGGCTCAATGGTTAAGAGTGCTGGCTGTTCTCTTGTAGAAGACCAGGGTTCAAATCCCAGCACCCATGTGGTGGCCAACAACCATCCATAACTCCAGTTCCAGGGTATTCAACACTCTCTTATGACCTCTGTGGGCATTGCACAATATAGGTACACTTACATACATGGAGGCAATACACTCATACATGTAAAATTTAATTTTTAAAAATTAAAAAGGAGAAAGAATTTCTTTTTAAAAAGACAGTCTTGCTACGTAGCCCGTGCTGGCCTCAAACTCATCATCCTCCTGCCTCAGCCTCCCGAATGCTTGGATGAATGTAAGCCACCACACTGGCTAAGAACATGACTTTAAATAAAACTGAGCCAAGAAAAACAGTGTGCTCTTTGAAAATGAAAGGCAAAGGTCAAAAGAAAATATAAAAGATGCATGTCATCTTTGTATCTGAAAAACCTCTGAAATTATTTCCCATATCCTCTCATTATTCAATTTAGTATATTAAATTTTTAAAAATCAGAATGGCATATAAAATGGCAATGACAGATGAGAAAGACAAGAAATAAAATCAACAAGCAATATAAATACCTTACATTTTAGTCATAAGATTAAACTTCCTCCCTCATCAATCTTAAACCAGAGTTCAAATAAGTAATGATATTGATTAGCTTCAATTTCAGCCCTACTAATTTTGCAGATGAAGTATCATAGCACTCTGCACAGAGCAAACATCCAAGAAATGTTCACAAGGGTGATGCTAATAAGAATGGCAAGTCCAGGGCTGGAAAGATGGCTCAGCAGTTAAGAACAGTGGTTATTCTTGCAAAAGACCCGGGTTCGAATTCCAGCACCCACATGGCAGCTAACAACTGTCTGAAACTCCAGTACCAGGGGATCTGATGGCTTCTTCTGTCCTCCATGGGCACTGCACGCCATGGGTGCACTTATCTACATGCAGGTAATACACTCATACACATAGAAAATAAATAAAAATAATAAAATATTTTTTTAAAAAATATTTTTTGAAAAAAGTGACAATTCAAAAAAGAAAAGCACAAAGAAATGATAAATCCATCAGGAATCCACAAAGGATGGGCACATGGACACGGACACATACACACCACAAACACACACCACACATACATATCACATATACACATACATACATGCCACACACAACCATACACATACACCATACACACCACACGTCCCCACTCCCCCCACACACACCACAAACATACACCACATATACATATATATCACATATACACATACATACACGGCACACACATGCAACACACACAACCACACACGTCCCCCATGCCCCCCACCCCCCCACACACAGAAATAATGAAACAGCCTACTCCTTTGGAAGGAAGAGGGAGGAAAGAGCACCAACTGTGAGGATGCCTAAAAGTTACCAAACAAAAACACTGAGCACTTCTCCACAAACAGGTGTCATTATCTGCTATGCTTCCTTTTTCCTAGCAGGGAAATTATTGTGCTTCAGTGCCAGCTGAGGAAAAAGAAAAAAGCCTTAACAACTTTCCTATCTCAGGGAGAGTCAGAAAGTCTAGACTCCTTCCAAGAGGCATAACTCAATCCTCTCATAGACTTCAAAAAGGTATCCAGGGAAGGACCTTACAAAATAAGAAAAGCAACAACTTTAATCATGGGAATCACAGAATCTCAGTTTGCTCATCAAAAACTGACATGGCTGGGGATGTAACTCAGTTGGTAAAGTGACTGCCTAGCATGCATGAGGCACTGGGTTCCACACCTAGCACTGAAAAAAGAAGAAAAGGACATATAAACATTAACTCATGAGGATGGGGCATACTCCACACTTACATCCTACCACTTGAGTCAGAAGCAAGAGGACAAACGAAACAAACAAAAAACAGGCTGACGAGAAGGCCTGCTGCAAAAGCACAAGGACCTGAGTTCAATTCCCATATAAAAAGCAGGGGGCAGCAAGTGCTCTCCTGTAACCCCACTACTGGGATGGCAGAGACAGGCAGATCTTTGAAGCTCATTAGCTAGTCGGCCTAGCCAAATCCATGAGCTTCAAGTTCAGTAATGGATTCCATCTCAAAAAAGAAAGTTGGAGAGTGATTAAGACTCATCACTCATGTCCAGTCTACATATACACATGCACGTACACATGTACACATGCAAAAATATGCACACACAGGCATGCACAAGCACACCCACATGTGCACATATCTACACTAACAAGTACAGTGGCCACATGTGGCATTTGAATGAGAATGTCCCCCATAGGCTCCAAGTATTTAGACATTTTGTCCCCAGCTGGTGGTGCTGCTTTGGGAGGTCTTAGAAGGTGTAGCCATGCTGGAGGAAGCATGGGGCGGCGGGGTAGAGAGTTCTTAAGTCTTCCCAGATCTTGAGTTGCTCTCTTGCTTCTTGTACCTGTTAGCTTCTGCTCCTACTCCATCCACCTCTGCCACCATGCTCCCCACCATGACGGACTCTTGCCCTTTGGAACCGTAAGCTAAATAAACTCATCCTTCTATTAAGTTGCTTTGGTCAGTGTTTCTATCACAGCAACAGAAAAGTAACTAATACACCACATTTACATACATCCTTCTCCCCAAACCCCACAAAAAAATGTGATGAAGGACTTTACAGTAAGAAAGCAATGTCTTTAATTAGGAAAACCAGAGGATTTCAGAGTTTTTTAGCCTAAAAAAGTACACCATCTTTGTAAACTCACTTAAGAAAATACTTAAGTAGCCAATTACTGGATTGTAATATTAGGAGAATGCAGAGTAACAAACTTGGTCGCTTTTAGGATGCACACCTATGAATAAACGTACAATTTTATTAGATGTCTGTTTATATTTTTAGGAGTAAGATAAGGTACCTCCAAGAATGTTCCAATAAGCCATGAAGTCAGATACACAGACAACAGAACTGACAACATGATCAAAACCAAAAAATTCAAGATATTGTTTGGTAAAACATGTCTTTTTATATTTCTTTGAGTGAGCAAACTCACTTTCTCACTCATGCATTTGACAGTTAAAAAGTAAAGCTATATATCTGCGCTTCATAGAATACAAGCAATTACATATCTAACATAGCACATCACACTAGACATGCTGAGTAAATCAGATTAACTGGTTAACACAGAACAGAGAATAAATTATAGAAATGTGTACATACCATGGTTAGCTCACACAACTGCATATACAAATGTATTTCTAACTCTGTCCGCTGAGATCCCTAAAAACTTAACATCCCAGTGGCAACAAGCATACCCTGCATCAGATACTGGTCTCTAAATACCAATCTCTAAGAAAAGGCCCCAGGAACTAGGGCTGGGGCAGGAAAACTACAAGATGAAGTAGGAATGTCTTTATAGCACAAAAAAGTAAGGAAGCCCTCACAACTGCACTTAAATTCCAAATTCTTCCTAAGAGGAGAATTTCTGATATAGAGAAAGTCTTATTACTACATACTAGAACTTCCACATGTGAATAGTGACTACTGTTACTTCCCTTCTTTTACTACAGAACATAACCCTGTAAAGAGAGGAGGCACACGTAAAGAGGAAAAGAGGTTAGAGGTTAGTCACAAAACTTAATCATACCGTGCAAAACTCATGCTTTTTACCAGTTCATCTAAAAGGCGATTATTTCTGAGGTCTGGCTCCGTGACTGCCTAGAAAAGAAAAACAACATATGGAAAAAGGTCAAAACCAGTAATTAACTTGTCATAATCTTGTTTTTGAAAATGTCTGGCCCATCTTCCAGGGGCTCTCCATCCCACTAGTCTTCCAGGAAAGACTCAAAATAAAGTTAATTTATCTTATACTAACATGAACTTTTTAAACACTTAATCATACCTGCTAACTGGAAGCCTGATAACAACGCTCAAAAGCCTCTGTTATTATTTACCCTGTACTGACTAAGACAAAACCTAATATGAGCAAGAAATTTCCTTCAAAATACCAGCACTCCAGCTTTCCCCAAATTACTCATCATCAGGAGAGGCTCTTCTAAGTAATAATACTGAAAAAGCAATAGCGTTCAAAGAGGGTTAAAAACAAGAAATTCAGAAATACAAGAGAGAAGCCCAGCCCTTTTAGCATGGATGGTGTAGTTTCTTAACAAAGGCAGCACATCACAGTGGCAAAGACCCTGAACTCTGGAGTGAATTGTACTATTTATTCCACAGGGAAACAGTTGGGAGAAATTCAATCCTAAAATTTGTTTTCACTTTCTAAAATACATTTGGGTTATCAGAAATCCTAATGAGAAGATGAACAAAGCCCATTTCTACTTAGGTGAACTTTAAAGATCTTTTCTGAAAATGCCTTTCACATGGTTTAATTCAGTAACTACACACTTTCCCGGTGATTTTTGTGTATACATGAAGCAGAAATATTTGTCACAATCAACACATTTTTTTAAAAAAGAAAATAAAACTTACCACACAACAAGTTGGGCACTGAGTTTTATAGGACAAAAATTTTCTTATACAGAGAGAACAATCTATAAAAAAAACACAAAATAAATTCAGAATAAATTACGCTGTATGACTTTTAACAAAACCTTCACTTAAACCTGGAGCATTTCCATCATTATATCATTATAATCCTAAGTTTCTAGTACCTTCTTGCTCTATGTACATTAACACATGTAGGCAGAAAGCATTCTTAGGAAAGGGAAATACATCCAACACACTGAGCATCTTGGATATCACAACTCCATAAGCAGCATGCCTCACTCTCTTTTCTCCATTTGTGAAGCACAGGGAGCACAAAGAAGACCTGGGCTGGGTTGGAACATAAATAACCAGTTGGTTCTAGGATGTATCATTTTACAAATTATTAAATCAGATACACATACACTAAGAAATAAAACCTACCCAAGTTATCAAATTAGGGATTTCTATACCCTAACTGTAGGTGATGCCCATCATCGTACACGTAACAAGCATTTTGGTGGCAGGCACTAAGAGCAACACACCTCAAAGAACTAAGAAAGTAGTAGTTGTACATCACAACTCAAGCAGGAAATAAGCATGAACTAAACTTACCACATTCAGGGCAGCATAAACTATGCTCCCAAAGGAAAAATAGATGGGGCTAAAAGAATGGTACCTTGCTCGTGGTTGCTTTGTTTGAAACCTGGCTAAGGAGCCATGTTAAAAATGAATCATTTGGTTGAGAAGGTGGACAAAGTATGACTTTTGAGGGTGCAGGACCTCAGAAATAAACGATTATTTACTGGCCTCAGCAACAGCACCCCAAGAGGGAAAATGGAAGGTTGAATTATGCCAAGGGCAAGTCAGGAAACAGGTTAAGCTCTGGGAAATAAAAACAGAAGGAACCAATTGGGCATGGCAAAGAACTTGGAAGTTGCCACTGTATCTAAACAACAAATGAAAAGCTAAACAATATGAAAAATCAACAACTCTCCTCAGATGCATCAGAAAAACAAGGTTATAGGTCAAACTGCAGCCCCTTCCCCCCAAAAAACTAAACAAGCAGATAGAAAACATCACCTCCCCCAGGACTCCACAGGAGCCTGGGAAGACCTGTTATGGGAGGGCCTCATGCTTTGTGAATCTTAGTTCCAAGAGTCCAGGCAGTTTCTCACAGTGACTAAGAAAAAGGCTCCAGTCTTTCACAGGGGAAGGGAAAAGCAACCAGAAACACTGTTCTGTTCTTGGCAAAGTCTGCCCTTAGGAGAAACTATTTTCCCAGAGCCTAAGCTACAGGACTTTTGTCAGAGTCCAGATGGCCCTGGCGAAGAAAAATTCACAACTCTAAACCTTTCTACCTACCCTGTCCTACCTTAGGAGGGAAAAACAAATAAGCACTGTTTTCACACTCAATAAAGATTGAGACCTAGCCCAGGAGTGGAAGTCTCACCAGCACCTCCACACTCCGCTTTAGCTAAGCTCAGGGGCATTCAATGAAGTTCCTTTCACCCAGTAGGCCATTTCCAAGCTAGCAAGAAAACTGACAAGGCACATTGAAAGACAAAAAACACAGCTTGAAAACACTGACCAAGCATTAGAACCAGAGTCAGACAGAGCAGGGATGCTGGAAATATCTAAGAATTTCTTGAAATTATGATTAATAATCTGAAAGCTCTAAGGGAAAAAGCAGAAAACATGCAAGAACACATGAGCAGCAAGCAGAGAGGCAGAAATTCTAAATGTTAGAGATTTTAAGAAATAACAGAAATGAAGAATGCCTTTACAGGTATTAGATGGTTCACGTCTGGGAAAAGACTCTCAATCATCTAAAATTAAAAAAGAAAAAGTCTAGGGAATGGAATGTAGTCTGAAGACGCAGTAAATGGTGGAACAGATGCCTAACACGTATGAGGCCCTGGGCTTAGTCTTCAGCACCAATAAGAGAGATAAAAGGAACAAAGTACTCAAGAACTATGTAACATAACTGTATACACATAATGAGAATGCCAGAAGAGAAGACAGAAAGGGAAAAAGCAAATATATGCAACATTAACAGCTGAGAAATTCCCCGAACTAGTAAGTCAGCAAACCAAGCAGGATAAATGTCCCCAACAAAACAACCAGTCTCTATGCTAGTCACATTTCTCATCACCATGACAAACTGACAGGAGACATGCAGAACACAGCAGCTCACATCTGGTGACCAGAGAGCACAGAGTGAGATGCGTGCATTCATTAGCATTCTCTCTCCCCCTATTGCTCCAAGTGAACTCCAGTCTAAGGGATTGCAACACCCACATTCAGGGTGGGTCTTCCCAGCCTTAGTCAACCTTCTCGGCCAGTGGCCAGAGGTGTACTTTACTAATCTCCTAAGTGCTTCTCAATCCAATCAAAATGACAATCAAATCAACTGATCTTATTTAAACTACTGAGACTCAAAGATAAAGACCCTGGAAGACAGGTTCAGGGAAGGGAGAAGGCTTTGGCAGGGCACTATCCTACCCACAGAGGAGCAAGGATAAGAACCACATCCAACTTTTCCTCATAACCTCTACAGGCAAGGGAATACAGAGATATATTTAAGTATTGAAAGAAAAACATCATTAACAGAATACTATATGCTGTAAAATTACCCTTTAAAAGTGAATGAGAAGTAAAGACTTTCTCAGAGAAACAAGAGGAAATTTCTAATAAACCCGACTTCAAACCTTTTTCTTATTCTAACAGGTAACAGGCTGTACAAAATAATAGCAACAGAGTATTCAATTATGGATGCTTTTGTACATGTGCACCTGACAGCTTAAGTAAAGCTATGAACAGGTGGACTGACAGCAGTGTACAAAGGCCTAGAGGAACAATCAAATGGATCAGTCTCAGAAGGCTGCCCATAACTAAGGATCACAGTGTAGGTGGCTAAAACAACATAAATTTAATTCCTCACAATTGTAGAAGCTAGAAATTCCATAGACCCAAGATCAAGAAGTCAGAATGGTCAGTTTCATTGTGGACTCTCTCCCTGACTTATAAAAAATCACCTTCTCACTCTGTCCCCAGAGGGTAGGGCAGGGAGAGACTATAAACTTTCTAATGACCCTTATGTTTCTAATCCCATCATGAGAGCGCTACCCTCAAGACTTCACCTCCAAAGGGCCAACACAGTACAGTTAGCAGTTCAAAATATGGGGGGATAATTGGTCTATAGCATTCTACTGGTTACCACCTCAAAATTAATTTCCTTCTCACATGCAATAAATACATGTTCATCCCATCTCAAAACTATTAAGTAACTGCAATGCCATCACCAAAGTCCAATGACCAAAGACCACCTGAATCAGATAGAGTGGGACTAGGCGCATGACTCATCCAAAACAAAATTCCTCTTCACAATTACTGCCTCAATCACCAATGCCTCAACTACAATGCCTTAAACACCAATACACAGGAACAAGTCTCCCAGGCAATATGCTCTGCCAGTTAAAAATTCCTAAACCTGCCAAGCAAAGTGGCACAAGTCTTTAGTCCCAGCACTCCAGAGGCAGAGGCAGAGGCAGGCAGATCTCTATGAGACCTAGCCTGGTCTATACAGCAAGTTCCAAGCCAGCTGGTGCTTAGGGAGACCCAATCTCAAAAACAAACAAAAAAACAAATTCCTAAACCTGACTGCTGAGCTCACAGGGCTCTGGGACAAACTAATTTTGTTTCCCAGGCCCTACTTTCACTTATATTGCTTCAGTGGATTTTGGTCAGAAAAATCACATTATTATAAGTGCTACTGATCCAACAAAAAAAAATTATTTTTAGCTGATGAGAAAACAACATCTATCCAACTAAAGACCAGCCCTCCAGAATGCCCCCAAGTGCAGCTCTGCACAACTCTCTGCAGCCATTGGCCTGTCTATTTCAGTGTTCATTCCTGAGAACACAAATGAAGAGAAACAGAGCTGGCCTAACAGACTCCTGCATTGCCTCTCACTCGGCAAAGCTCATGGAATGAAACACTTCATACTCCACCTTTTGAAAAAGACAAGATGAAATTTCTCTTTACTCCTACATGAGCCTTGATTAACTTTGTGAAAAAAAAAAATTCACAGAAGGAAAAAAAGATGACTGCTGGTTAATCTTTGAACTGATAGTAACTTAACAGTGCCTATACACCAATGAATGATCTCATCTAAGTGCAAAGATTTCAAGCATCCTCCCTCCACTGTCAAGTCAAAAACTTGCATACATGCAAAAGAAAATGGCACTTGGGCACATCCATCCATTAAGCAGAACATTTTTCACTCCACATGACTGAGGGGCTGGGATAAGCCCAGGTCTCCTCCTCAATGCCACCCCCAAGTACTCTTTAAAAACATGAATTTGGGGTCACTTTTACTAACTTGCATTCTCAACTCACGCAAAACTTAACACTGCAAATATGCAAATGTAGTGTTCATTATCTGTATCAAAAAAAAAAACAGAGTAAACAGAATAAAGTGACTTGGAATGATGAATACTGAAAGAATAAGCAATAAATAGCTAGAATTCTGGGCCACCAGTTCTAATCCATCCAAGGCAATACACAACATGATAGATCCAGCCCCAGACATAAATCTAAATGTGGTTTGGTGACCATATTAACTAAAATGGGAGAACTTCATCTGATAGAACTGGTCAAGATCTTAATTGTATTAGATATGTGACAGATATGTAAGTGCATCTGTATCATGCAGTACCTGTAGAGGCCAGAAGAGGGCGTCAAAACTCATTGAACTTGGAGACTGGAGAGAGGGCTCAACAGTTAAGAACACTAGCTGCTCTGGCAGAGGACCTGAGCCCAGTGCCCACATTGTGTTAACTGTTCTGAACTCCAGTTCCAGGGAATCCAACACCCTCTTCTGGCCTCCACAGGCACTGTATGATACAGATGTACTTATATACATGCACCAAAACACTCATACACATAAGATAAAATTAACTTTTTAAAACTCATTGAACTTGTACATTTTAATTATGCTCTTTATTGTTTATAAATAAAGATGTTGTTAAAATATATTTAGAAACAACTGCCAAAGTTTATCTTAGTTATTAATATGACTCTACCTGGAAAGAAAACTTTTTTTTTTTTTTTTTTTTAATTTGAGACAGGGTCTCCCTCTAGCCTCATCTGACCTGGAACTCACTATGTAGACCACTCAATCTCACAGAGATCCAAGTGCTGGGATTAATGGTGTGCGCCACCAAGTCCAGCAAAACTAACATTTTTAAAGACCCATAGTGCCAAATATGTGTGTGTGTGTGTGTGTGTGTGTGTTATAGGTGAGCTTGCCGATGCATGTCTATGGGGAGGCCAAAGGTCAATGTTGGGTATCTTCCTCAATAACTCTCCACCTTATTTTGAGACAAGGCCTCTCACTGAGCCTGGAGTTCAGTATTTTTTTCAATCAGACTGATGAGCCATTGCTAGTTCCCAGGATCCACCTGTCTCTGCTGAGGTTACAGATGTATACCTCCACCCCTGGCTTTTATATGGATCAGAACTCAGATCCACATGCATGCACAGAAAGCACTTTCCCCACTGAGCTATCTCCCACTTGAGCTATGCCTCAAGTTCTGCATATTTAATTCTCGGAACCATCTTCTGAAGTTAAAAGTATTGAATGAGAAATGCTGGGCAATAACTACAAATTCATCCAGTGGGTAAGTGGCACTGGAGAGCCAAGCCTACTGTATTAGTAAAGCCCACACTGCTACCACTGCCATCCTCTCACTGTGTCTTCGTCACAGAACTTTTTCACCAAAGATATTTTACAATAAAAGCATCTTTGAGCCTAACTTGATTTTTTAACTTTCCAAGACAAATCAACCTGAAAACAGAAGCCAAGACCATGAATCTAAGTATTCCATAAATGACATGACCTGAATAATAACTTCCATTCATTAAATACCTTAAGCTATATCATATTAAAATACTTTTAGGAGAGTGGCAGAGTACTTGCCTAAGTATGTGTGAGGGCTTGGTTAAAGCCACAGCACCCCAATAAATAAGCAAATAAATAAGCTTATACATTAAACATTCAAAATATAAGTATTTCTCATAAAGACAAACAAATTCTAATACATGGTTCTTTCTAGTACCACACAGCAGTTAAGTGACAAAACTATCTTTGATATTCAATGGTCCTTGAATTATGATGGTTTGACTTTCAATTTTTCAACCTTACGATAGTGCAAAAACAATATACACTCAATAGAAACTGCATTTCAAATTCCTATTCCCTCTGCCCTCCAAGCCCTGGCTAGCAAAGTGTATTATAAAACTCTTTCAAATGCTGAACAGAGGTAGTAAGTACAGCTGCCCATAAGCCACTAGATCAGGAGAGTAAGCAACCAATACTCTACAGTGGCATTAAATACATCTCAACAGTATTTTCAACTTATGGCAGGCTTACTGGGATATAAAGCCATACTGAGAAGTGTCTACATTTCTATTGTTCTGAAATTTAAAATTTAAAATTCCACACCAAGTGGCTGAACCATTTATCTGTCACTGCTAAAAACAATATTCTGAAGCTTAACATACAAGTGCTCAGCAATGGGTGTGGTAGGCACACCTTTAATCCCAGCACTCCAGAGACAGGTGCATGTGGATCTCACAGAGGCCAGTCTGGTCTACATAGGGGGATTCCAGGCCAGCTGGGGCTACAGGAGACCCTGTCTCAAAAAAAATTGCTCAGCAAATAACCACACACTACAATCAAAGTATTTATTGCCATAAATTCTATAAAAGACATAAAAATATCCAAGGGGACAGTGGTAGAAAATATAAGAACCCTGTAAAACTTCTATATTCAAAAGGAGGCATAATAGACCTTCTTAAAATTACAAGACAGATGAACTAAAGATGAAAAATATGCATATGTATGAATCTTTGATGTTAAATGAAACTACCTCATATCTTCACTAACAAAAACAAAATATACTTACAGTTATGTGAACACTGAGGAATTATCATTGCAATGTTGAAATACTCAAAGCAAATCCCACACCGCAGCAAATCATCTATTGTCTGAAATGCAATACATATATATAAGACATCAATATTAGAATGACTGACACAGCTTTCCCTCTACTCTCTTAAAAGTAATTCAATAATACTTCTTTGTGAATTATATATACTCAAAAGCTAACTTCAGATAAACAGCAAGGGATCATGACAAGCAGAGAAAAACCGCCCCCACATAACTAAAATGTTCAAATCTGAGGTTACCCAAGTTGCTTTGGACAGACAACACTGATGCTGCAGATTCCTGTGCCATACTCTTAGCCCTTTCACAAAAGGGTTCCTGTAGGCCTGCTCTACTTCTCCTGTTTCCAGCTCTTACTCCAGCATCCTTCTCTTCAGATCCCATCCTCTGGCCTATGGTCACCAATGAGTGGAAAATACCAATAGCCACAGTCATCACACAGCTTAAGAACCAAACTGGAAACCATTAAAGCCAAACATTAGAAACGATCTAGCAGGGTATGATGGCAAGCACCTGTAATCCCAGTACTGGGCAAGCTGGGTAGGAGGATTCTGAGTTCAAGGTTAGTCTGGAATACACAATAAGACCCTGCTCCAAACAAAATTAAAATAGAAACAGATAAATATTAAATTAACTAAAACTCTTATTTCAGAATGACATTTACATCCAGAGGAGGCACATAACACTATGCTTGAATCAAGCCAAGATGAAAATACCTGACCTCTTTTGGCAGTCTAATGCTTTCTGCATGGTACACCACAGAGTGTCAAATGAAGAAGCCAGTGAAATCGCTAGTTACAGAGTCAGTGACAGCAGAAGGAAATGAAAAAGTAACAATCAGAAAACTTGGACCCATGTGTTGTCAATGTAAGATAAAGGGAACAGGACTTATTTCTTGTTATATCATTTAAGAAAGGTACTGATAGTAATAGGGTAAGCTTTTTTATTATTATTATTATTTTTATTTTATGGGATATGCCTGTTTTGCTGGCATGTATGTAAGTGCACTCGTACCATGCAATGCCCACCAAGGTCAGAAGAGGCGTTGGATCAACTAGAACTGATTACGGGACAGTTGTTAACTGCCAAGTGGATGCTGGAAACCAAACCTGGGTCCTTTGCAAGAGCAGCCAGTGCTCTTAACCACTGAGCCATTTCTCCAGCCCTACTAGGCTAACTTTCCTTAAGAAATAGGGGAGTAAGGGGCTGAGGAGGTAGCTCAGGGGTACAGTACTTGCCTAGGGTGCATGTGGTACTGGCTGCCATCATGAGCATCTCACACCACACACACAAAGACGTGACTAAAAATAATGAAGACTATATTCCATTTTATCATATAAATTAAATTCTGAAAAGATATATAACAAAGTAATAAATGATTACTAAAGATTGGGGAAGTGGATCTGAGGGACACAGTAGGAAGATCTTTTTCATTTTATTTATTTCTTCAATCATATGAGTCCATTACTTAAAATGCTTAAAAGTAAGTAAATAAACTGGTATGGGAGCACACATCTGTAATCTTAGCACTTGAGAGGCAGAAGCTGGAGGATCAGGAGCCAGACACCAGCTTGAGCTATGCAGTAAGTTTCCAGCCAACCTGTACTACATACGGAGACATTTCAAAAACAAAACAAGTTCTCACTAATACGGTGAACTATTACATAGCCATTACAAAGAGGCTTCCAAAGAATCACTGATGCCATAGGGAAATGTTCATGTTCATGCAGTAATCCATACATCGTTTTAAACAGCAGTCAGGAAAGGCAGAACTCGGGGACAGAGGCAGGAGGGCTACACAGTGACCTGTGTACTATGTACTGTGCTTAGTCTCAAGAAAAAATAAAAACAAAACCAAACAGCAAGTGCTCACCAAGTAAAAAGGTTTTTTTAAGTGAAATAATTCAGTGTGCAATAATTCGCTGTGCTGGGACTAGGTCCTGATCTGATTAAAACAGAGATGAGCCACTACTGGAGAATTAGGACCCGTTATGCAGGACCTGGCTGCAGTGTGTTGGGACAGAGCTGCACAGGGCTTCTGGCCCTCAGCCAGAGATACCGGCAACCATGGAGGACAGACTACCTGCCTTTGCTGTGATGTTTAAAACGTCATTCAATACAGTGCCCACCCCAAACCACGCGCCGCGGAACCGTGGACACCGTAAGTTCTAGGCGAGGGTGAGCTGTCACCGTGGCTGCCACAGCTTTAGAGTGACCACACCAGGGTAATGGCTGTGCCGCACAACATCCGGTTCGTTAGGGTGGCCACCCTGGGCTCACCGGAAGAGGCCCCAGCTCGTCTACCCGCCCTTCCCAGGGGAGGAAACTGAGGCGCGGAGTTGCGCGGCCAGCGGGACCGGCAGGGCCGAGGTGGGGGCGCGCGACAGGAACACTGGCACCCTCACTGTTCTCCCCGCCCCCGTCGAGCCCCAGCCTTTCCCGGACACTCACTTTCATCGCCGCCAGCCCCGGAGGCCACCGCGGCTCCGACAGGCCCTCCATCATCGCTCCTGGACCAGGCCGCTAGCCACCGTTCTCCCGCGCAGCTCTACTACTCGAAATTCCCCGCGCTACGACGTTACGTCAGCAATACGCGACGCGCGCGGGGCGAGCGCTCAGCATGCCGGAAGCTGTAGTGCGCCCGCGCAGGGCTTCAGCGGCTCCTCCTCAGAGTCAGAGGAAAGAGATCACTTAAGAATCCTAGGAAAATAGCCCGGTGTGGCACAGGCCTGGGATCCCTGGGAACTGGAGGATAGTTATGAGTTCAAGGGCAGCCTGGCCTGCATAGCTAGAACCTGTCTCAGGAAAATAAATAAACAAAAGATTCCCAAAGATACTTGAAAAGATAATCAGGAATCAAAAGAAATCAATCAGTCATTAATTCTAGATATTTCAAGTTTCACTCTCTGCTTTAACGATGTGCTCTGCTCCTTGAAAATGTTTAAAAGTACACCTATATCTCATCTTTGGAAGGGAAGTATATATTATCAGTTTAAGATAAATGACTGCTGGGGCTGGAGAGATGGCTCAGCAGTTAAGAACATTGGTTGTTCTCGAAGAAGACCCAAGTTCGAATCCCAGCACCCACATGACAGCTAACAACTATCCGTAACTCCAGTTCCAGGGGATCTGACAGCCTCTTCTGTTCTCTGCGGGCATTGCGTGACATGGATGCACTTACACACACGCAGGTAATACATGCATACACATAAAATAAAAATAATAAATAATAAAAATAAAAAGATAAATGACTACTTTCCATAAGCCATAGCCGCATCAACCAGACTCCACATAGAGCCTGGAGGCTTTCAATGGGAGATCTTGCTTTAATTTAGGGGCATGAAGGAATATTGAGGATAAAATGCAGAATCTTACTGAGTGTTTTATGCCTGCATACATGCTTGTATGTGCACCACCACCAAGTGCATGCAGTGCCCTTGAAGACCAGAAGAGGGCATCGGATCTCCTGGGTCCAGAAAGTTATTAGCTGTCATTTGAGTGCTGGAAACCCGAACCCCAGTCCTCTGGAGGAACAGTCATGCTCTTAACCACTGAGCCGTCTCTCCAGCCCCCAAATTAAAATTCTCATTTAAAGATATTTATGTTCTCCAGAGATAACCACTCTTAATATTGGCATATAGTTCTCAGATTTTTTTTTCCTATGCCATTGATAAAGACTCTTTCCTTAAGTCAGACTGTTGAATCATCTCCTAGGCCAATCTCTGAATTTTCTTGTAAGGTCCAATTTCAGCAAAGAGCTTTGCTAAATCAGCTTTAGAGGAACCCTCATTCTTGATATCAAATCACCTTACTATCTGATAGATTCCTCATTCTATTCCATCTCCAGGTGATGTCTGATCAGGATGAATCCTGTTCAGCAAGAATCCTGTTAAGTTAGTTTAGCCAGAAACCTGTCTTATCCCTGCTGCTCCTCTTAGTGATTTTCGTTGCTCTGACTGCTCCCATTGTGCTCCTTGGCTATACATTTCCACTTGCCAATACTAATACTGTATTCAGACTTAACCCCCCCATCCTAATTATGATTATGCCTGTTGTACATATAGATATACTTCATTCCCTTTTTTATATTTTTTTAATTTATTTAATAACAACATACTTAGAAGAAGCATTTCATTACATCTGCACTGACATATTCAATAACAATTTTCTGAGCTAGGCTGCATCTCTTTTATTTTTTAATTAGAAGAAGCATTTCATTACAACAGCATTATTCCCTTTTTAATAGCTACTTAGTCTGTGTTAGAAATAACTTATTTATCTAGTCACATTTATGGAGTGTTTAGGTTTAGGTTATTTCCAGCCTTTCCATTTCAAAGAACTACAGTAAATGCACTACCTCTATAAATCTTGGCACACTTGAGCCAAGATATTTGAGGGTTGGAACTACAAGGTCAATTGCTAGCATTAAATGACCATCCAAAAGGCTGTACTAATATATTTTTGTTCTCACCAAAAGAGTAGGGGAGGGCCATTTTAGAGTTTTGTCAGATGTGTCTGGGTTGCTAGAAGGAGGTCCTGCTGATTTTGTATGGTTGTTGTGGAGATGGTGACGCTGTTCATTGGAAATCTGCCTGTGGAGGCCACAGAACAGGAGATCCACTCACTCTTCCAGCAGGAAGGTGCTGGCATGTGACATCATTAAGAACTATGGCTTTGTGCACATAGAGGACAAGAAGGCCACTGAGGATACCATTTGCAACCTGCACCATTACAAGCTACACAGAGTGAACATCAGTGTGGAAGCCAGCAAGAATAAGAGTAAAGCTGCAGCCAAATTACACGTGGGCAACATCAGTCCTGTCTGCATCAATAAGGAACTTCGAGCCAAGTTTGAGGAGTATGGCCCCAGTCATTGAATGTGACATTGTGAAAATTATGCCTTTGTACACATGGAAGGGGCAGAAGATGCAATGGCAGCCATCAGCAACACCGAGTTTCAAGGCAAAGGAATGCATAAACAGTTGTCTATCAGCGGGTTTAGGACTACCCAGGATGGGAGACCAGAGAGACTGCTATTGGTGCAGGAAAAAGGGGCAAAGGTCCAAAGAGGGGCACTGGTCCAAAGGTGTCCAATAGATCATTTAGACCTTGTGGCAGACTTGACCAAGCAATATGGAGCCCTTCACATACCTTACATGATGAATTATGGGGAATTATTGTATTAGAGCTGGTATGGGGCACTCAATGCTTAAAGCAAGCACAGCTGAGCTGCCCGGTCCTATGAAGCAGTGGTGGCAGCTGCATATAATTACACAGAGCAGATCCTGTCCCAGCAGCCACAAGTTCAGAACAAAGCCATGGCCTGTCACCTCACCTCCACCTCTCTTGATTACTATTGCCATCTTCAGGAGCCCCCTGCATTGTGCTCCAGGCCCAGTCACCAGTGTTGGAGGGGGCTACGATTACAGGTGTGAGAGTGAGTTGTCCCAAGTGGGTTGTCCCAAGCTTCAGGAGCTGGGTGGAATTCCCTGTACAACATGGCCGGGTATGAGAGGGAGCAATATGGGATCCGGCGCAGAACTCAACCTTTTAAAGCTTGAAGTGGGCTGTGGGGGGGGCCAAAATCCCAAGCTGTAATAGTGCATGGGAATACATTCTTCACTGTACCCCATCTTTGGGCTGTTCTTGGCTCTGTGCATTCAATCCCTCAGGAACCATGAACCTTAATTTACCTTGCTAAATTCAGGCTTTTCCCTTTCCTTTGCTCTGCCCTACCCAATTCCTGTTCTTCCTTTTGTTTAATGCATCTGTAGCTTCCCATTCCTGGTTTCCTCTCCAAGCAGACCTCCTTGTATGCAGAAACTGGTGGGTGGCAGTGCTGTCTCGTCCCTGCTTCCTGATTCCAGTGAGAATTGGGAATCACTTGATGAGAGAGTCAGTTCTCCTGAGTTTCTTTTTTGGCCCCAAAGCTAGACCTAGAGATTTGGATCACTCTTTTCAGTCAAATAAATGGTTTTACAATGAGGAGGAGAAGGAGGGGGAGGGGGGAGGGGAAGAGGGAGGGAGAGGGGAGGAGAAGAAGAAAAAGAGGAGGAGAGGGAGGATGAGGAGGAGGAGGAGAGTTTGCTTTATCCAGATGTGAAGTGCTGACCAGAACACACAGAGGCTATATCAGGTCTCAAGGATAGTACAGATGCGACCCAAGACAGAACCCTGCAGCTCACTGTGTCATTGACACATATGTGGCTCATGCATTCATTCATTCAATATGTACTTTATTTCGATTTTATGTGTATGAGTTTTGCCTGCATGTTTGTAAGTGCACCACATGTGTGCAATACTTGAGGAGGTCAGAAGAGGATGTCAGATCCCTTGGAACTGGAGTTATGACAACTGCAGTGGCTGTGAGCAAAACCCAGGAATTCTGCAAGAGCAGCAAGTGCTCCTAATCACTGAGCCATTTCTGCAGTCCCTCAACACAAATTTTTGAAGACTTAAAATGGGCCAGGTATGTGACCTCTCCTGAAAAGTAGACAGAGGAGAGGTTGTTATTGATACTATGCAGGTGTAAAGATTGAGGCCCAGAGGGTTATGGCTTCATTTTTTTATGTGTTTTCTTCACAAAGAGACCTATGGGGCTGGGGTGTGCTGGTGCATATATTTAATCCCAGCATTTGGGAAGCAGAGGCAGGAGGATCTCTGTGACATGGAAGGAAGGCAGCCATCTCTACATAGCGAGTTCCAGGTCAGCTGGGGCTACAGAGAGACTCTGTCTCTCTGTGAATATGAATTAGATGATACATGAATAGCATTTGAACAACAGACTTTAATATCTATTACAGTAATAACTAATATATTAGGCACTGTGTGCAAAGCACTATTGTGAATGTTTTCATATCTACGTATTTATTTGACTTATTTACTTATTATGATATCAGAGGAAAGAGAAACAGGGAACTGGTTCGTGGCATTCTGCAAGTAAACAAAAGTGGAGTTTGAACTCAGGCAATCTGATTTGAGAGCCTAGAGTAATTACACAGAACAGTTTCATAAGGGTCTGATCAAGACAATTATTCCCTCTTGTGGATGAATGTCAAAACAGCAGAAGAATTCTTCAAGGTCACAATATTTTGTCAATGGCAATGCTCAGGCTTGATCCAGACTTTTTTTTTAAATCTTTTATAATATTTATTTTTTATGCTTTGAAGAATTATTATTTTTTAATCATTTTTTACTTTTTAATATCTACATGATTACAAGAAGCATTTCACTACAGCTTTAACATATTCAGTAACACATTCCAGAGCAAGAGTACATCTCCTTCACAAGTGGCTGCAAGTTTCCAGATTCACATTTGAGTTAATACAGTTATACAATATTGAACTCAGTATAAGCCCTCTAAGACATAAAATTGGATGAGTTTTTTAACCTTTAAAAAAGATCTCCATTTCATTTTAGAATATACTGTTCCTTGCGGAACAGTAATAACTCATTGTTATTGCTACTAACACTGAGATGTTGGCACATGCATCTCTAATCTGTATGTATCCGATTATTACTAGTCATAATCGGTTGCACTTGGATCCTTGGCGCCTGTGTATATCTATGAAGTCATCG